CATATAGATCGCGAATTATCAATCATTTTGCTTTTTACATCAAGAAAATCGTCCAGCCAGTTTTAGAGAAAATCGCATTTTTCTATTTTTCTTATTATACCCTCTGTTATGCAAAAAAAACTAGCTGGCAACATTACATACTTAACAAATTCATTTATCAAAATGGCGACGATATTTCGACCTTTATTATTCTATTTCTCCGATAATGGCCCCAAATGCACGGTAGTTTAACATATAGATCGCGAATTATCAATCATTTTGCTTTTTACATCAAGAAAATCGTCCAGCCAGTTTTAGAGAAATTCGCATTTTTCTATTTTTCTTATTATACCCTCTGTTATGCAAAAAAAACTAGCTGGCAACATTACATACTTAACATATTCATTTATCAAAATGGCGACGATATTTCGACCTTTATTATTCTATTTCTCCGATAATGGCCCCAAATGCACGGTAGTTTAACATATAGATCGCGAATTATCAATCATTTTGCTTTTTACATCAAGAAAATCGTCCAGCCAGTTTTAGAGAAATTCGCATTTTACTATTTTTCTTATTATACCCTCTGTTATGCAAAAAAAACTAGCTGGCAACATTACATACTTAACATATTCATTTATCAAAATGGCGACAATATTTCGACCTTTATTATTCTATTTCTCCGATAATGGCCCCAAATGCACGGTAGTTTAACATATAGATCGCGAATTATCAATCATTTTGCTTTTTACATCAAGAAAATCGTCCAGCCAGTTTTAGAGAAATTCGCATTTTACTATTTTTCTTATTATACCCTCTGTTATGCAAAAAAAACTAGCTGGCAACATTACAAACTTAACATATTTATGTTAGGGGCTGCCAACTTATGAAGAATGCAAACATAGAGATGTAGAATGTTTCAATATATATAAAGTATATTAATTTAATATAAATATCATGATTACATAATATTCATCGTCATGTATACTTTTACTTATTTTCACAAGCTGGCATCTTTATATATTCCATATCATTATGTTTGCATTCTTCATAAGTTGGCAGCCCCTAACATAAATATGTTAAGTTTGTAATGTTGCCAGCTAGTTTTTTTTGCATAACAGAGGGTATAATAAGAAAAATAGTAAAATGCGAATTTCTCTAAAACTGGCTGGACGATTTTCTTGATGTAAAAAGCAAAATGATTGATAATTCGCGATCTATATGTTAAACTACCGTGCCTTTGGGGCCATTATCGGAGAAATAGAATAATAAAGGTCGAAATATTGTCGCCATTTTGATAAATGAATATGTTAAGTATGTAATGTTGCCAGCTAGTTTTTTTTGCATAACAGAGGGTATAATAAGAAAAATAGAAAAATGCGATTTTCTCTAAAACTGGCTGGACGATTTTCTTGATGTAAAAAGCAAAATGATTGATAATTCGCGATCTATATGTTAAACTACCGTGCATTTGGGGCCATTATCGGAGAAATAGAATAATAAAGGTCGAAATATCGTCGCCATTTTGATAAATGAATATGTTAAGTATGTAATGTTGCCAGCTAGTTTTTTTTGCATAACAGAGGGTATAATAAGAAAAATAGAAAAATGCGATTTTCTCTAAAACTGGCTGGACGATTTTCTTGATGTAAAAAGCAAAATGATTGATAATTCGCGATCTATATGTTAAACTACCGTGCATTTGGGGCCATTATCGGAGAAATAGAATAATAAAGGTCGAAATATTGTCGCCATTTTGATAAATGAATATGTTAAGTATGTAATGTTGCCAGCTAGTTTTTTTTGCATAACAGAGGGTATAATAAGAAAAATAGAAAAATGCGAATTTCTCTAAAACTGGCTGGACGATTTTCTTGATGTAAAAAGCAAAATGATTGATAATTCGCGATCTATATGTTAAACTACCGTGCATTTGGGGCCATTATCGGAGAAATAGAATAATAAAGGTCGAAATATCGTCGCCATTTTGATAAATGAATATGTTAAGTATGTAATGTTGCCAGCTAGTTTTTTTTGCATAACAGAGGGTATAATAAGAAAAATAGTAAAATGCGAATTTCTCTAAAACTGGCTGGACGATTTTCTTGATGTAAAAAGCAAAATGATTGATAATTCGCGATCTATATGTTAAACTACCGTGCCTTTGGGGCCATTATCGGAGAAATAGAATAATAAAGGTCGAAATATTGTCGCCATTTTGATAAATGAATATGTTAAGTATGTAATGTTGCCAGCTAGTTTTTTTTGCATAACAGAGGGTATAATAAGAAAAATAGTAAAATGCGAATTTCTCTAAAACTGGCTGGACGATTTTCTTGATGTAAAAAGCAAAATGATTGATAATTCGCGATCTATATGTTAAACTACCGTGCATTTGGGGCCATTATCGGAGAAATAGAATAATAAAGGTCGAAATATTGTCGCCATTTTGATAAATGATATGTTAAGTATGTAATGTTGCCAGCTAGTTTTTTTTTGCATAACAGAGGGTATAATAAGAAAAATAGTAAAATGCGAATTTCTCTAAAACTGGCTGGACGATTTTCTTGATGTAAAAAGCAAAATGATTGATAATTCGCGATCTATATGTTAAACTACCGTGCATTTGGGGCCATTATCGGAGAAATAGAATAATAAAGGTCGAAATATTGTCGCCATTTTGATAAATGAATATGTTAAGTATGTAATGTTGCCAGCTAGTTTTTTTTGCATAACAGAGGGTATAATAAGAAAAATAGAAAAATGCGATTTTCTCTAAAACTGGCTGGACGATTTTCTTGATGTAAAAAGCAAAATGATTGATAATTCGCGATCTATATGTTAAACTACCGTGCATTTGGGGCCATTATCGGAGAAATAGAATAATAAAGGTCGAAATATTGTCGCCATTTTGATAAATGATATGTTAAGTATGTAATGTTGCCAGCTAGTTTTTTTTTGCATAACAGAGGGTATAATAAGAAAAATAGTAAAATGCGAATTTCTCTAAAACTGGCTGGACGATTTTCTTGATGTAAAAAGCAAAATGATTGATAATTCGCGATCTATATGTTAAACTACCGTGCATTTGGGGCCATTATCGGAGAAATAGAATAATAAAGGTCGAAATATTGTCGCCATTTTGATAAATGAATATGTTAAGTATGTAATGTTGCCAGCTAGTTTTTTTTGCATAACAGAGGGTATAATAAGAAAAATAGAAAAATGCGAATTTCTCTAAAACTGGCTGGACGATTTTCTTGATGTAAAAAGCAAAATGATTGATAATTCGCGATCTATATGTTAAACTACCGTGCATTTGGGGCCATTATCGGAGAAATAGAATAATAAAGGTCGAAATATCGTCGCCATTTTGATAAATGAATATGTTAAGTATGTAATGTTGCCAGCTAGTTTTTTTTGCATAACAGAGGGTATAATAAGAAAAATAGAAAAATGCGATTTTCTCTAAAACTGGCTGGACGATTTTCTTGATGTAAAAAGCAAAATGATTGATAATTCGCGATCTATATGTTAAACTACCGTGCATTTGGGGCCATTATCGGAGAAATAGAATAATAAAGGTCGAAATATCGTCGCCATTTTGATAAATGAATATGTTAAGTATGTAATGTTGCCAGCTAGTTTTTTTTGCATAACAGAGGGTATAATAAGAAAAATAGAAAAATGCGATTTTCTCTAAAACTGGCTGGACGATTTTCTTGATGTAAAAAGCAAAATGATTGATAATTCGCGATCTATATGTTAAACTACCGTGCATTTGGGGCCATTATCGGAGAAATAGAATAATAAAGGTCGAAATATCGTCGCCATTTTGATAAATGAATATGTTAAGTATGTAATGTTGCCAGCTAGTTTTTTTTGCATAACAGAGGGTATAATAAGAAAAATAGAAAAATGCGATTTTCTCTAAAACTGGCTGGACGATTTTCTTGATGTAAAAAGCAAAATGATTGATAATTCGCGATCTATATGTTAAACTACCGTGCATTTGGGGCCATTATCGGAGAAATAGAATAATATAGGTTGAAAGATTGCCACCTTTTCGTTATTATACGTGCATAAATACTTAAATGCATAGGTGTCGTCTTTTGCAGCAGTCTATTTTACCAAAGATAATGTTTTATTGTAAAATGACAATTATTTTATATATTACTGCATTTCTCTTTCATATACAAGTATTTTGAATTAATTTGTTCCCGCCCAATACTTTATAACATTGTTCAACACTGATTCCGAGCAGTGGTTCGGTTCCCGTTGGATCTAGTAGCTCGATAGGCATTTTGAATGAACAACATGAGGTGTGCTTACATTTTGCCATTTTTCTAAAAAACTGGCTGATCGATTTGCGTAGAATTAATGCGTAAAGCTTCCTTAAACATGTATCTTCAAGTTGGTATACCGTGCATTGAGGGCCATTATCCCTGAGAAAAGTTATTAGGGTTCAAGTGCAAGGGTGATTTTTTACGGTCATTTTGTATGGGGCTAGCAACGAGGTTGCTGCACTGTAGTACAAATATCTTAAAAACGTGCTGATCGGTTTTTATAATTTTTTCACGATTGGATAGGTGAAACTATAGACTTCAATCGTGTATATGCGGTTTTCGGGGCCATTATCCCTGAAGTAAGATATTTAAAGAATGGCGAAAACCTAACTTTTCAACCCCTTTGTTTACCCATATTAAAAATTAAAATTCAAAAATAAATGAATGTAGATAGTAAATAATTTAATTTTTTGCAATTCTGCATTTAAATTTATTTGGTTTCGTGCTTAAAAACATAAATAAATGCATTTGAAAGTGACCGATAGTTTTCCGATAACAAGTACCAAAATTCGACGCTAAGTCACCGCCGCTAATTTGACGCACGTTTGTATTGATTGCTTTTATGTGCATAAGTACCCTAAACATATTCGATATATGCGCCATACAACTCTGCTAGTTAGTGTGACCGTTTTGTTGAAGTATGAAATACATATGTGCATACATATACAGCGCTTTGTCAGGTCGAGAATCGTGCAGAGGTAAACTCCCATAAAAAATTTGGATACATTTTATACCAAGTGTAATTTGTTTTAAAAAGGACTATTTTTCTTGAGCTTTTCTCTAATGCAAATAGTGCTCTTCAACATTAACGCATAGACGTAGTGAAATTATATAAAACGCAATTGTTTAATGCCAGTTTTTCTGTGGATGGTGACGAAGTGGTTGTCATTGTGAATTTATATACATATGTGCGTATGTATGTGTGTTTGAATGCATGTGTACACACACATATACACCTATAAATATGTGAACTTGTGTTGATTTAAGTGAGCTATGGTCAAAGGGGAGCGGTTCGAAGCCACTGTGGGGCATAAAGTTTCGATTTTTTTTTACCCATATCTATGTATACCCACAACGCATTTACAATTGATACGCTTTGGCTCCCCTCACAAAGAGCGAGAGAGAGAGAGGCAGACGAATGGTGAGAGTTCAAGTAAACGGGGGAGCAAATAAATGGTCCGTCTGAGCATTTTACCACACTACCTCTTTGTCTGTTCGAGCGAGCTCTCGTGCTGGTATTTTACTCGCTCGCGTTGATGTGTAAAATTATTTATTTTTCCCCCGTTGATTTTGCAATCGTTTGTGCCTGTGTGTATGTGGTGTGCGCGTTATTGTGAATCTTGTTAACGTATATGCAATAATATGGAACGTAATTATCTGTATGTGCATAGTTAACAAAAGGCAGGCAAACATTTTTATGGTATACATATATTCATATAATCGATGTGCGTATGTGTGAGTGTGTCTCAAAAAAGAGCAATCGTCGTTGAAGTTCGACTACCATGACTACGCAATAGCAACAACAAGAGACAGCGAGACTTGGTTAGGTGGGTTTTTGCTTTTCTCTTCTGCTCATTGCCGTCGCACTCTCATTCAGCTTTATGTATGTGTGTATGTGTGTGTGTTTGCCAGTCTGTTTGGTTTGCTTTTGCTTATCTCTCATTCTCTCACCATAATTTGGCTTTGAGCTGTGTGGAGAATAAAAGACGAGTGATGTACATACATACATATGTACACTTTTACAGATGTGCATATTTTCCTTTTGATAATTTATTGTTTTCATTTTGAGAGGGTGGCAAAGTGTGTTCAGCTTTTTTGTGTAGGACCCTGGCCCTCAGCAGCACACGCTCACACATACATTAAAGCAAAAGTGAGGTGTTTTACATAAATGCGTTCATACATCTGTATGTATGTACATTTATATGTAAACACAAATAAACGTATTTTGTTTTTGTTGCCAGGTTTTAGGATTCTGCATTTGCTCATGTGACCAGTGTGTGCATTTGTTTCATACAAACATACATACCCACATATATATATTTTAACTGCCTGCTTAACTTACATAGTATTTTACTTTACATAACATGAGCATTTTACTATTTGGCAATTAAAACCACGCTTTTATATAAATATATATTTATATATATACATTCATAGCAATGTCCAAAAACACATATTACACATGTATACTATGTATTTATTACTAACCTAACTAAAAAAAATCATTTAGTTATTTTCGGAATGTCGAAAATTGAATACCCTTGCAGATAAACAGGAGATTGGCGATCATTTCATTGAGATAACCTAACACTCCAGTCGCTTGTTCGTCTGTTGTTGAGTAAAGTCCACAATAAAATTCAATTTTTGACCCATTGCTCCCTTACGATCTGTATGTTATAGTGGTCCGATGTCGACGACACTGTCGATGACATATGCCAGAAGCCGGTAGTAGATTGTAATTGTCAAATTTGTTAATGATGTCTCACAAACATATCGTCCCGGCTGTTGTAATTGATCAATAAATAATATAAGATTCTAATCCCTGCTGCAAGGCTATATATGGAAACCCTCTTAAAAAAGTAAATTAGTCTCGAAAACTATGAATGTAATTGCAAATGTTTCTTTTACTTTTATTTTTTCTTTGTTTTTAGCATACATACAATATTTTATTGCTGGTTTTGGTGGTAAATTTGCATTTGTTAATGGCCGTGGCCAGACGTGCCAGCTTTTTAACACACACACAAAAAAAAAATAAAAAATAAAAACAACAACAATGAAAACTGTTCATCAAGTGTTTTTTATCTATTGACTATCCCCACATGTAAAAATAAATATTGAAACTAAACCAAAATGTATGCTAAGTACGATATAGCACATAAGACTGCCATTTTGCCGCGCGTGTATCTGTATCTGTATCTGTATCTGTATCTCACTGACCAACTACCGCAACTGCAACTGTAACTGCAAGCGCAAACTGCACACACCTCAACCTCAGCCTCAAGCTCATGTTAAAATTATAAACATAAAAAAAAAAAAACAAATAGAGCGCTATCTATCGCTCGCTCGCCTCCATAAATGCCAACTTATATATCTATATATATTGTATTATTCCTCGTACCGCCTACCAACTACTACTACCAACAACTACAACAACAACAACCACCACCACCACCATCAACAACCAACAACAACATTCTACTGCAACTTGGCAAAAGACTCGGCTTTAGATTGTAAGCTTGTGTTTGTAAATTTGATAAACATTTATACTATCTTAAATATGTACTATTAAAAATAAGTCATGCGAAATGAAAGACAAACTTACGTTACAAATAAATACAAATAGTTGTGTTTTTCTTTTACTTCGCATGGCTTAGAGCTTGTAACTTGTAACTTTTTGTATTTGTCCTACGTTCTTTGGTTCCAATACTGCTCTAACCCCATTTATACCATCCAACAACAACAACAACAACTACATACACACATATTTGTTTTTGCACACACACATATATGTATATACATCTTACAGTACAACTTTGATAGATTGTCAATTGAATTTACTATATACAAATCTGAATTGATGAAGATATGGGCATTTCCAGGAGACCTTATAATATCAAATTATTTTCTGTTGCTTTTCAAATAGTCAAATAGTTGTATTAGTTTGTACGAAAGTTAAGTTCTGAAAGTGGGCAATGCGCCTTTTTTTCAATTGCTAAATGAGATTGTAATTGTTTAAGCTTTCCTTTAATACAATTTAATACGTTAACAAAGTATTGTATCGAAAGGACTAACCAAAAATTGATTTAAGAACTTTTCATGTTTTTGTTTGCATTGAAGACGTGCGACTCTATTCCATGTGATTTCCTGGAATTGCCAATGTACGCCTAGTTGATCTAGGTAATTTTAAAGAGCCCTGGTCTAGAGCCAAGCAAATATTTTAAGTAGTTTTAAAAAGCAGTTGATAGAGGCAAAGAAGCAATAGTACGGAGTGAGAACTAGAAATTGAAAAATCACTGAAATTAAACCTAAAGCAGCATAAGATTTCAATATGAATATATGGGTCAGAGCAGTAAAGATAAACTTAAGCTAAGTTAATTAAAGTATTTTTATATCAAATATTATTTGCCAAGAAAAAGACTGTTTTTGTTAAAGCATTGTTATATGAATTTAGAACTGGAACAAAAGAGTCTCGTGATAACCCTACGCTGTGGTAGCTGTAAAGCCATTGTACTAGCTTTCTAAGTATACATAGATATGTTATCAAAGTTGTACTGTTGCCTAGAAACATGTACGTACATATATATCAATACAGAACATACAAACACGTAAGATAAGTGTTATATTCTCTCAACTCTAAAGCTCTAAATAGTACTAACTACTCCCAAACAACTGATAAGTAATTTTGTAATAAACCCACCCGACTCCCAGGGAAAAAAGAGAACATTTACTAATAATGTGTTTTGTTTATTATTGTATTATCATACGTATATATTCATCCATACTCTCTCACACACACACAGCCATGCATTTAAAATATATAACTTTTAGCTCTGTATGACAAGAATTTTCTCCCATATAATAAAACGCATATATCAGGCATATTGTATACTCTATATATATATTTATGTAGTACCCAGAAAACTAATCACGCACGTATCCAATCATGAAATTACATTTTATTTATTTTTTCTTCAATTATTGACAAACTATTAAAGCTACACGATTTAAAACCAAACTCAAATTGTTGCTGTTTTATTTATGATCAAGAAAGTTTATATACTCTATCTTCTTTACATATTTACCACTACACACACACACACACACACATTTTTATGCTCTTTTCTCAGTAAGTACTAGTGTTTAGCCCTATCCATAAATGTTTTGTTTTTCGTATCGTTTGGGTTTTGTTTATTATTTATTTATATTTATATATAATATTTGAGCATGTTGGCTTTGTTGGTTGTTATTGCTTTGTGTACTGGAGCGCGGGCGCGGCTTTAAACTTAACTCAGTTCAAGTTTTTCAAAACGCAAACGTTTTCCGTTTTTCCTCTTGTACAACTTGCAGCTATAAATGAACAAAACAAAGTTTGAATAAACAAATTACTAGAAACAACAACAACAACAACTAAGTCTCAAGCAGCAGCAGCAACAGCAGCCGCAACATGCTGAACTCCAATGCGAATCATTCGGGCAACAGCCGACGGCCATTTTCTCGTAATTCCTCATCGGCGCGTTCCCAGCGCGGCCGCATGGTCTACTCGCCGCATCCACACGGACAGCAGCAGCAGCAGCAGCAACAACAACAGCCGCAGCAGCGGAATAACAATAACAACAACAACAATGGCCTTGTGCCGGGTCATAGTCCCTGGTGCAATGTCAATCTGAATCGCCACAATAATGACAACAGCAGCAACAACAACAACAACAACAATGCCAACAATAACAAAGACGCAATCGATGGCAGAAACTCAAATTGGTAAGAGCTACGCAGCTTATGGTATATGAATAAATATATATAAATATAAAAAAAAAAAACAACTAAAAAATACCAATAAATTTTGCAAATTACGTTAGCTTTAAGTGACATAAAAGCGAATTTGAAGTACCCCATCCAAGAGTCCTTTATCCCGCCGCAATCCCACACCGTACTATGCCTACGACCTGCCATAAAAATAATAACAACAACAACAACAACATCCTTGTTACTCGTTCCCCACGCTCCCCACGACAACTATAGAACAGTTTTCTCTACTCTTCAATCTATATCTATCTCTCTCTCTCTATATATATATATCTAACTACTTCTACGTAACTACACCTCAGATATAAAAATCGCTTTTAGGGTAAAGGGAGAATTTTGTAATTAATTGCGTGTTGTCCAATAGAGTAAAAAGTAAACAACAAAATTTATCATCCAAAGCCAAAACATTTCGTTGGCCTCCTTTTACCGTTGAATTTTCGAAGCACTCAAAAAACTTGCATTAACAACAATACAGCTGCAGGCTCAGCAAATAAAGAGAGTGCAAATCCGCTCTCTACCTTGCGCTCTCTCTCTCTCTCTGTCTCTCTCTCTTTGGCAGCTGTGCAGTACTGCACGTGTTGCACAATGGTTTGCAGCTGCAGCTGTTTTGTTGTTTTCTCAACGTTTATAAATTCGTGTTCATTTGTAATTTTTGTTCTCTTTCGTACTGTACATTTTCTTTATGTTTTGTTCTTGTCAATTGGCACATTTGTATTACTTCTAACTACTAATTATCGTTGTATCTATTATTACTGCATTTACATTCAATTTAAAAACAATACACAACTTTCGTTTCGCTCCCAAAAAAAAAAAAATAAAAATTAAACAATACATTCCTAATTGTATCGTATGTACATTTTCTAACCGCTTCAATTACAAATATGTATACATACCAGGCGAAATTCCATAGTAGATACATATATATTTACATCTAACAGAACTATTATCAGAAAATTTTTAATTTTCAACCGTTAATAAAAAAAAACTCAAAAAACCCAATGAAAAATGCATGAAGAGCACTTGAAAATGGCGAACAAAACTTTATATGTAGCAAATGTCCTAAGTTTTTAAGTAGTTGTTTCTTTGTCCAAAATAAAAGCTTCTTCATTTCTCGTACTTATTAAATACTTTTAAATACTCTCTACTGAAAAGCGCGCTTAACGGTTATTACCAAGCATGCCATCATCAAAAAAGAAAAAAACCAAAAACATTTACTCTACAAGTTTGGGCCGAAACAATTTTCTTGGCCGAGAGCCAAATATAAGACTAATATCTGTGTAAATTCGTACTAGTAGTTGGTAAATAATTTACTATTGCAATTTGCATATAACTTGTTTGCTTTTATTTAAAAACTAGTTTAATGCTACGTGTGTATGTCATTTTTAATGTATATTTTTAACGATTTTTGGTATGGATATTAAGAAAACAAAACAGCTTTTTATATATCTTTAGAGTGCTCCTGCAGAACTCCTGCAGAATGTCTGTAAAAAAGAGTTTGAATTATAATTTAAAAAAATTAAAAATAATTTTCTCTCCATGGAGCTTTACCGCTAGTATCAAAATATACATACACATTAATCGCTTTACCTATTCATACCGTCTTTATAGCTGTAGTATAAAAAATGAATCTTAATGTGAGGTTAGATACTACAAGTAGTACATGAATTGGACACAATGCGACTCAGGGAAAACGAGTAGAATTATAAAAAGGAGAAAGCAAAGACTACTTTTTACCTGAAAGTGTTTTTCATGCATATTCAGTCAAGAAAATAAAAACAACAAGAAGAACACCACACTTAGTCGTTCCACTCGCAGCGCGAACTAGTTCCAAGTGGAGCTAAATCAGCTGACCAAAAGCACAACTGTACTACTTAACAATAGTATAGCTCATTGGGCTGATATTTGCTTTCCTTTTTTTTTTTATTCTTAAACATATTTTGTATAATTATATTTTTTTTTTAATTTTTTGCGCTTAGTTTCGCTTCACGTTTATGCTAAATGAACTTTACAAAAAAAAAAAGCAAATTAAACCAAAGTTAAATACTTTTGAAAACAAATATTGTGATGTTTGAAATCCATGTGATTATTATAAATGCAACCGTCAAAGTGCAAGCCAAATATAATATATATATAAAAATTTAGTTACAAAATTTCCTCTTTATCCAAACCGTACAGTAAATACTTAGTTGTAATATTTTTTCAATTCAACATTTTATGAATGATAATGCATTTTAGTTGAGTTTATTGATTGTTATTGATACAATTTTATAGATTGGTGTATTTTGTATAAACGCTTAACTGCATTTTTGGTGCTGGTAAAAATATAAAATTTGTTTGACAAAGTTGAAAAATCATATTTAATGATCAAGAAACTCAGCTTAATGTTTTACTTATTTATTTGCATTATGCACACTGCGGCTTAGAATGTTTAATAAACAGTTTTAATGTACCCAACTAGAAATTCCAAAAAAACAAAAACATGTCGAAAAACCAAAGCTACTAAACAACTCTTAAAATATATAGTAAATGCGTTACTATAATACCTTTCGTATATTTCTTTATATCAATATATTCAATATTTGATTGTGTGTGAGCGCTACATCAAAATCAGAGCAACAACTATAATCTATAATTTTTGAACATTTCTCACACTGTCTGTTTAAAATAGTTAACTATTTAAGCATATACCATATGATTTCTCCTCTTAAGTTTTTTGGACACATAAGCGAATGAGTTGCAGTCGCAGCTTTTGCAATTAGTGCGTAAGTGTTAAACGTTAACGTATAATTTTTGGCGCTTTTTGGCTCACGCCCACCCTACTGCTGTTGTCTGTATGTATGTGTGTTTGTGTGTTTGTGTGCGCAAGTGTGTGTGTAGGCATTATCTTGTATACCCCAGCTCGATCTGTCGACCTGTGTCACTCTATGGTATTGTCTTAAGCTTTGCATTCGCATGCTGTTGTGCTCACGTTTACATTACGTTAACGATTACGTCGTGCGTTACGTGCCCAAAGCTGATTCTTCAGAGCGCGCCACACCCACATGCTCCCCAAGCTTTTTTTTTTTGAAAAGAAAGTACTCGTACTTGGATTAACGGTTTACGTTTTTTGCGTTCTCTTTTGTATACTTTTGAGCATGTACAGCACTCTCTCTCTCTCTCTCTCTCTCTCTCTTATAAGTACATATAACTCTCTCTCTCTCTATCTCTCATGTTTAGCTAGTGAAAGTGTTGCGTTGAAAAGTGTCCTAAAAACTGTGATACTCGCATTTGTTGTTTAATTCCTTCTTTTAAAATTATTATTCATTTCTTTTCGTAAGCGTAGTGTGCATTAAAGCGAAAGCCAAACAAATAAATAAATAAAATAGCAAACTAACAATTTCTATTTAAAATGCATAAGTACAACAAAAACAATAAGAAAAAAAAAAACAAAATAAAAAAGGACATATTGTGCAAAATTAGTACGTATTTGTTTCTACTAAATGCATATTGTATATGTGTGTATATGTAGTTAACTATTGAATATTATTAATAACAAATTCTCGCTACATATACACCCATTGCCATAATATTATTATAAACTATATGTGTGTGTATATATTGATATTATATAATTACATAAATATATATATATATATATCTATATTAAACTAATAATCTAATTATTGCATTTTGCCATTTACATATATATTATTTTTATCTTTTTCGTTTTTCTTTCTTCTTCATAAAAAAAAAAAAAAACCGAAAAAAACTGCAAAATAATAATAATAAAAAACTATATAAATAACGTATATGTGTGGCTATCACTCTGCATATATACACTACTACTACTACCTACTACCTGTACATGTATATGCATACAAAAATAACTATATATGGGTTGTGTTTTAATACTACCACCACACTGCTACTGCATTGATTTGATTGAACAATTTTCAAATGTATCTCGTAAAACCGAATATATATATTATATACGTATATCTTATTATATGTATTACATATTATCTGAAAAAAAAAAAAACGCAATTGCAAACCTAAATCGAAAATCCAGCGATGTACAAACAAGTAATTCTAGCGGAACTTGTATTTATAACAATAGCAAAACGCATCATCACAACAACAGCCTTAACCTCAATCACAGTCGCAATGCCCCACAAAACAGTCATCAGTCGCAAGCCCAACATAACCACACACAGTATAACAGTAACAGTAACAATAACAGTAACAGTAACGTTAATCATAACAGTTATCATCATTCAATTACCAACACTGCACACAATAACAACAATTGCACTGATAACATTAGCAGCAATAATCTGAATAGTTTACGAACACCACACAATGAAAACCACAATCCCAATCAGTGCCCCAATCCCAATCAGAACCCAATTGTGAATCACGGCTTTCACAGCTATATTGATATGTGCAACAGTGCGCCGAGTGCGCCGCCCGCTTTTGGTTCAATGTCCGTGTCCGTTGTTAGACTGAATCCAGCACGCTTATGTTTAACTGTTGCCGCCCCGCCCACACCCACGCTCATGCCTATACCAAACCCAAATCAGCAGCGCCGTAGCACGCCCCTTGCCCTGCTATCCCTTCCAGCCAATCACGATAACAATCATGTCCATAATTTCAATCATAATCATCAATATCACAGCACCCATCACAGCTACAACAATAACAACAACAACCAACATCACCAACCACACCAACAACAACAACAAGAACAACATCAACCGACTAATCGCCAATCCCTCCCGCTAACACGTACGAATTCAAATTCAACAACCGCAACAACTTTCAATTCAACCAATACAACAACAAATAGTAACCCTACTGATGTTGTGAATGTCAATTCTTGTACCGATATAATTCCTCATGGGTCGTCTGCGCCACAACAACAACAACAACACCAACAACCACAACGACAACCCCAACAAATGTGTTCACAACGACAACAACGTCAACGACGATCTCAAACCCAACAACAACAACTGTCGCCGTCGCCTCTTATGATAAACCACAACCAATTGACTGATTCTCATATTAACCACGCACCTATCAATAGCCATAGCCAAGGACCTTCTGGCCCACAGGCAGGACCAACGGGCCATGGGCATCACAGCCAACGCAACTACAACAATCGCAACGGCAACAACAACAACAACATTATCATCAACAGCAACAGCAGCAACAATACGAATGGGCTAAGCAATGGCAACAATCCCGATTACATGAATTATCGTCGAGCTTGCCCCGCTTTGTCCCGCGACTATCAGCAACATCACAACAACAACAACAACAACAATGGTAACAACAACAACCATCCGGGCAATGGTCACAACAACAACAATAACAATCGGCGTCACAATGGAAACTACGATAGAAATCCAAACAATAATGTGAGTTAGCAAGTCAGTTCATCAAAATATTTATTAAATAAAAAATAAAACCTTTTCGCAAGATAATAATAACTAGAAGATGCCCTGTTGCTCTGCATACTATGAGTAATTCTATCTTTAAATAACTTTTTCGTTTGTTGTGCCCATACCAAAAATTAGGATAGATAAGAATTTCTATATATTGTATTCCGATGCAATAATCAAGCAGAAACTATATCTCTTAAGCATATTTACAGGGTATTTACACCTCACTATTTATAGGGTATTTTCCCCTCATCGCTCCAGATTCGCATTAGCTATATCCACAGATTAAATTATATTTCAAATTCTTGCAGCACTTTGGCAATGGCAGCTCGGAACAGGGTCTGGATCATAGATCAGATGGTGGCTACAGCTTTATGCGCAGCGGCTATGGCCGGAATGGTCCACACTATCAGCACATGGGCAATGGTTATGGCAATAACAATGGTGCCTCCACATCCGCCGCTGGTCCAGGTTTAATGGGCGATGTGCCCTCCGGCTCTGGTTTGTCTGGCTCCACACTTTCGCTTAACAATGGGCTCGGACCTGGTCCCAACGGGCTTAACTCGGACAGTCCATCGCGCAAGCGTCGCCGCATTTCGGGACGACCAAGTCAATCGCCGCCAGCCATTTGGGAACCGCGGCGCTCACAACGTGTCATGGTGAAACTCCGAGCAATAGGCTCAATGTCAGGTCAAATCTCTAACGTATTTTTCTTTTTCGCAGATGCAACAAGGCAGTCCACCGCTGCGTCGGCCACGCCTGCGTGATGTGGCCACCTCCACCCAGCAGCAGCAGCAACAGCAGCACCAGCAGCAATACGCACCACAGTTGCACCACTCGCAGCAACAACAGCAGCAGGCGCCACCCAACTACCATCCAATGCATCATCATCAGCCACAGCCGCCGCACTATGCGCCGCAGCAGCAGCAGCAGGCACCGCATCCGCATCCACACCCGCACACGCACACGCATCGCTCACCCTGGGATCTGGCCGGCAACGTGCCGTCGGTGGGAAATGCCGGCGGCAATGTTGTTGGAGGGCCGCCCGCTAACAACTCCGTTGGCGCGATATTGCAGCAGGTACCGGCACCGCCGCAGGCTCCCACTCATCAGCAGGGAGTGAACGCTGGGCCGCCACCACCGCCACCCGCCTCGGTAATGGTTGACCTCAATTTGGCGCTGCGCCATGAGCCCATCTGGGCCTCCTTTTGCACGTATCCGCTGCCAGCACAGGCGCGTCTGGCGCCCTGCCATCTGCACGGCATCTATACGCAGCCCTTCTCGGCGGCGCCCGCCGGCCTGGCCGCCGCCCCACTACAGGTGGCCCAGGTGCCGACGCCCACACAGGTGGCGGCTGCTGCGGCCGCGGCACAGCACATGATACAGCAGGCAACGATTACGGCACAGCAGCAGCAACGAGATGTGACCGCGATTGCGGTGGCTAATTTAACATTAACTGAGCCGCCCAGTGCACATCATCTGGACGGGCATCAGGCAGCCGCTGCAGCGGCGGCAGCAGCAGCCGCAGCAGCTGCTGCATCTGTGCCAGTGGGTGGACAAGCGCCGCATCCGCATCCACATGCACATCAGTTGCCGGCAAGTCACATCCACATCGCTTCGATGAACGCCGCCGCTGCGGCTGCCGCACAGCATCTACATTCCAATGCCGCGGCGGCGGCAGCTGCTGCCCATGTTACCCAGATGTCAGCGGCGGCAGCACCGCAGCAGATAATCATATCATCGGAGCGACGCACATTCCCGCCACATAGGCGTTTACCGCGCTTCTGGCCGGCAAATCATGGTCCTCATCGGCATGTCCTGCCGCCGCAATCGTTGGGACCTCATCAGGCGCCCGTGCAGATCCAAACCACCGCTGGCATTATCAATCCAGGCTTCTTGCTCAATTTCCTGTATGTCCTTTTTAGCATTAATTTATTTTTATCCTTCACCATCTTGCTTGTTTGCAGTGCCATGTTCCCGCTATCTCCCTATAACCAGCACGATCTGAGCTCCGCGGACACCAATGAGACGGAGAACTATGAGGCGCTGCTCAGTCTGGCCGAGCGTCTGGGCGAGGCCAAGCCGCGCGGTCTCACACGCAACGAAGTTGATCAGTTGCCCAGCTACAAGTACAATCCGGAAGCACATAATGGTAAGACTTATTCATTTCTTTAATGTCTTCTTTACATAACCCTCTTTTTCCTATGAACCCTTAATAGGCGATCAATCCTCCTGCGTGGTCTGCATGTGCGACTTCGAGCTGCGGCAGCTACTGCGCGTTTTGCCCTGCTCCCACGAGTTCCATGCCAAGTGTGTGGATAAATGGCTGCGCGTAAGTTGAATCAGTAATTTTCAATATTTTAAAAATGTTCTGGTTAGAACTGCAGTGCATTCCAAGCTGGCAACACTGTACAATTTGTGTAAACGGACGATTGCCATTTGGCAAATTGTATTTATTGATGTGTCCTGCCCACCAGCGTTGCCAGCTCTACTGACTGCGGAAAACAAAAATTATAAATACCGGCAGCGTTTATTTCGTTTTAATATATTATCAGCTCTTATCAATAATATGAAGTTTGTCATCACAATCACCCACTATTTTAAAATGAAAATTTAATAACTATATTTTTTGCTTACTGCTTACAAATAAAACAATTTTAGATTTAGAAGGAAACGCATTGTCAAATGTGTACAATATTCGATTCTGAAATATCAATCATAAATTTCTTGACACCGTCCAGCTATTGCAGCTACTAACTTGATTTTTAACTTTTGCAGTCGAATCGCACGTGCCCAATTTGTCGCGGCAATGCCTCCGATTACTTTGACAGTGCCGATCATCAGCAACAGCAACAGCAGGCGCAGGCAGCAGCTGCCACTGCGGGCACAACCACAATATCTGGCAACGCTGCCACGGTTACCAGTAATCCGGCAGTGTCCGTTGCAGCAACCGGCGCCAACTCGCAGCAGAGTCAGGCCGCTTAGGGCAATGCTTGCAACAAAGACAACACAACCATAACCAAACGCTTTCGCCACGTTGTCCAGGTGCAGCAAGTAATGGAGCACACACGCAAACATAAACAACAACAAAACACTCACGGATAGCCTATTTAAATAATTGATATAACGCGCAACGAATCCAACTGCCAAAACGCTTCCCTTTAAACCAGAACACTTCAATAGCTTGTCGTAGCACCCTACTTAGGCGGTAGTTGTATGTAAGTAACGGTTAATGGTAAATGGTTTAAAAAATACAGTTATTTGTAACAACAATGTAATTATAATCAAATATGCATACCACCAAGATTTCATACGTACATAAGGAATACACAACATAATATGCACAATTATCGATAACATAATCGATAGTTTTGTTAAATGTGTTTAAGACGAGAAAGCTGAAAAACTAAAAATCAATTCAAAATGTACTGTTTTTTATGTAGTACAGTGCAAGTTCAAACAAAAACAAAATTGAAAAAAAAAAAAAAACTGAGTCAATAATGTAATTCGGGTGACATTTTGGTCTCAGCTGCCGCCTGTGCTTATATTTTCCTTATGCATTACATTGCAACAGCTTCATTAAAAACGAGTGCATACTATATATACAAAACATACATTACCTATACTAAATGGTGTATTTTAAAATGTTGCTGTCCACATACATACACACACATATATATATTATATTAATTAACACTATATCTGCAAATTACAAAAAAAAAAAAGAAAATTAAAAAAAAAATTATATTTGTACTTGTTTATGCTTTATGTTTTCTTATATACATACATACATACATAATACTGGCATTGCATTTTAATTTAATACTTACAACAATACAAAATCAAATATATATATATATATATATATATATATCCAATTCGTATTTGTTGATTTTGAAAGTGCATGGCGGCCATGTTGTTTGCACTAGAGATAGAACAACATGGGGGCCTGCGGCTGTCAGATTCTACACGTACCCATTGGAAAGTCCTGTATATTGTACGAACTGAACCCACTGAAGAAGTTCTTCTTCTTTTTGCACTAAGCAAAGAAAAGTACACAAACAAAAAAACAACTTTTTAAAAAATGAATATTCAACTCATATAATTTTTGCGTTGCAACTGTTTAAGCATTTTTATTTCATTATTAGTCTAAATAACTATATAAACAAAGCAACTAACTCTGAAACATATAAGCAATCTTTGAAATCGACTAAAATATAAACTACAAATATGAACGTAACGTTTAACAAAACATTTATATATGCATATATACAAAATGAGCAGACATACAATTATAATAACAATAACAATAATAATAATTAAAATATGAATTTAGCCTCGTAATACATACATGCATATAAATACATACATATATTGGTGGGCTTATTTAACTGTATTGTCGTAGACGTGAGCAATTCGCTAAATATATACATACATACATACGTACATACGTACAGCCGCATATACATATAGACGAAACTTTTGAGAGGGGAGCTCCGGCAGCTCCACAGCTCCACAGTTCCGTAGTTTTGCCTTTTTCGAAAAAAAAATAAATAAAAAGAAAAAATAATCGTGTTTAAACAGGCTCCATGTTATATGGTATATATGTATGTACATCATAACCTAAACCAAAAACCTCCTTGAATTTGAATCAATGTGACTTGTCTATTAAAAGTAGCACGCTGGCCGAGCATCAGATGCATATATGTAGTTATATATATATATAAATATATATACATATATATCTATCTATATAGAGTTTTCTTCTATTATTATGGTATAACTTAATTATATGTATATGCATAATGTGTACGATATTTACATGCACTTGACTAGCCTGTAAATCCTTACGGTTTTTAACAATATACATACATATATTATATAACAATAACAATGATTAACAATGACAAGTAATATGTTTATATACACTTAAAAATACAGAATACAGAATTACCAAGTAAATTGAAATGATTCCTGCCCTCCATTCGTATCAAACCATTGAAACTAACTCAAAGCGTTTTTTATATAAAACACATGTATGGCATTGATTTTTTTGTGACAAATGCCTATATGGAGCATACATACATACATATATATATATATATATATATATAAAGAGGAAAACTATACAATATATATATATACATATATATAAAATAGATTAGCATTTTCAGACAGTACTGAATAACAAATAGCAGATGATTTGCTTATAGCGAAAGCTCTTTTTCTTAACTCTCTATGCTGTATGCTGCTATAAATATGGTTCTACAATTTCCGGTACCCACCCAGAAAATCAATGCTTTTCACATTACTATTGTGTCCGTTTGCCAGAATTGACGAGAAGAAGAAGAAGAAGAAGAAGAATAACGACAACGATGAGCACTTTTCAGATTGCCTCCTACCCCTTTCTCCATCCCCTTGAAAAACAATAATGTTTTTCAATCCTTATTAAATGCTATGCATAAAAGTGAAAAGTGAAAAAATAAACAATTCTTGATACATAGTATATATTAATACACATATGTATAAATAAATAAATATATATATATATATATATATATATATATATATATATATATGTATTTAAAATGTGTGTGTATTTATTTTAAATCTACATAAATGTAAATGGTATTTTCAAAAGACCATTATAAAGGTGTTGTGCTTTTCTAGAATTTTATTAGTAGAAGAAAAATGTTTATTTTTTGTCACAATAATAAAACAATATAAATTTAAACCGAAAAAAAAAACGTTATAACGAAAACAAAAAGATAAAAGCAAATATATATATATACATACTTATATACATGGATATGAATTGAATACCTTTTGTACGTGCACTGACATACTTACCTACGAGTATATAAATAAAATCTCAATCAACCGAACTAAGAAGCAAACAGCTTAAATGAACAGTCTTAAAGCTTATTTCCCTATTAAAATTTTATAATTTCCTCCTTCTCTTTTATTGAATTTCTTACCACCTTTCTATGGTATCTACAATAATAACAGCACTTTCCAAACTTTATTGTTTTTATAGTTTCAAAACACCAAACAAAAATCAAAAGCTTCTCGTAAATTATATGAAAAGGAAATAAAAGAAAATTATAATATAAAGTTTTGCTGTGATTCGTGATGTAGATGTACGTTATATATATTTAATTACATAAAATGCAATAAAAATGCAAGCATATAAAAGCATAATTATTCGAAATTATTACGTCGAAAGCCGATATAAAAAATAATAAAAAAAATAAAAATAATAAAAACATTTTATGCATGAGATCTTCTCCAAACAATATGTACGTCATAATCTAACATCACTTGTCTAGAATTGTCTAGAATTATGCAATTTTAAATGTGACTATTATTTTACATTTTTGTAGACAAGAACCGAGACACTCTTAAAGTAATTGTAAAAATCAGTTAACCATAGTATTAAACAAACCTTTTTCAATGGCATTGTAATGGTGAGCGGGCGTTTTTAATGTTAATTGCAATATTTTCAGTTTTGTTTTTGTATTAACTCGCAAAATTTCAATAAAATTCAATGAACGTAAAAAATAAATGAAGTCTACCTGATTTTATTAAAGTGTACTTTATTTTCAATATCATTTCATTGAAAATTATTTAAAGTAGTTGAACTTATTGTCAGTTGTAAGAAGTGTGGCCAGACGAACTAAGCAAAAATCCATTAGTTCTGTAAAATTGGTCACCCTGCTTCTGACAATTATGTTTGCAGATTGTCTAAGGCGATTGCGAATACATGTTTTGCCTAGATTACGGAAATGTAAAGGTCAATTAAGAATACCTCTTCGAATTAGGAAAAATGTTTGGCCGAGTTCTTTAGACGTTATCGACAATTACTTGTCCATTAAAATCGAAAACAGCTGCTGATTACATGTATGTTAACATTTAACGAGACTGTAAGCAGTGTTAAAGCGATATAGTTTTTCTTATCGATTGTGCTCTCAATCGAAAACAGCTGACGTTTACAGTTGGTTAACAGCGGCGGCGGCGTGTGAATGCAAGGCGGATGAATTATTTTTAATTATAAACACGGTCACATAAATAATTGAAAAAAAAGAAAATGCATTTGTGCAAGCAAAGAGCAAAGCGAAAATATGGCCTGTAAATTATATCATAAATGTGAAAGTGTTCGCCAAGCGTCTACGCCAAACGCAAAGTGAAAAAAGGAGTGCGAGTGGAAGAAAAATCAATTGAAAAGGAAAAATTGCATTTCGCTGCCCCAGCCCCCGAATACGAATCAAATAAAAGTGTAGTTGTTGTAGTGAAAATATATTAAGTTGTTGTACGTGTTTATGCGCTGAGAGTTAGTCGGGTGCATGTGCTAAGAAAAGAAGAAGAAAAGCAGCTGCAGAAATATCAAAAGGAGACAGCGACGACAGCGGCCAAGTGTAATAAAGCGTTGGAAAAATGAGTTCAAGTTGTGAAAGGTGTGTGCCGTTACACTATATCCAGCACTGAAAAAAAAGAACAACAACAGCAACAACGAAACGAAGTGTTGAAATGAGTATACAAATATGTTAGCAACAACAACGAGTATATTGTTGAATGTTTTGTTTAAAAAGTTGCCTTATAACAAAGCATACAACTGTTTTGTGCGTGTGTTGAGAAGTGCGAAAATATATACGCAACGCAACTCAAATGATTGTACAGCAGGAGCTCCTCCCCCTTAAAGCTAGCCCAACGATGGCAACGCCAACCGCAGCCTGTCTCTGTGTGCGTGCGTGCGTAAATGTGTGCGTGTGGATTGCATTGCTCCTTTGTCGCTCTACCCCGTCCTCCACCGCAGCCACTTAGCCATTTTCCCCCTTCGCTTAATTAAATGCTAGTTGCCTCAAAATTTATGCATTTTGGCCTGCAAAATCGATTTATTGCAAGGCGCGGCAACAAGCGTCGTTTTGTTTGGCAACCGCGGCCGTTCAAGTACATATACAAATACGAGAGAGCAAGAGAGAGAGAGCGCCCGCTCTCTGTATATATATTTGGCGTGCCTACATGTGTGTGTAAGGACGGCGCGGCGTTTCTAGCTGCAGCTTCGAATAAGGAAAAACCGGAAAATGTTTGACAAAATATATTTGTATGCTTGTGTATAGAGAAAAGCCCAAAACAAGGCATTCATGGGGGAAAACCAGCAACGGACACACACACACACACACACACACACACACAAAATAGGGCGACGACTCACGCACAGGGCAATTTGGGTGGTACTTTTTTGTGGGTGGTATTTTTATTTTTGGGTAATTTTTCTGGCTTGTGCCTTTTTTGCAGCACATCTTTTGCGTGTTTGCATTCATGAATGAATGAATGATATATTGAATGAAATTCGTCTGCGTGTGCACTCAATTGTTGTTGTTGTTTCACCTTCCACAGTGCGTTGTGTGCTGCATTCCAGAGATGCTTTTTGCCTTTAAAATAGCAACACACTCGCATCTCGCCTTTTTAATATCTTTATTTATGTTACGTTTTCTAACACACTCTCACGCTCTCTTTCTGGCTTACAGAATAGAATGGGTAGAAATTATCGAACCACGCACCAAGGAGCACATGTACGCCAATTTAACAACTGGCGAGTGCGTCTGGGATCCACCCGAGGTAAGTTTCTCAAATCGTTTAGGATCTACGTGCAAATAATTAAATCAATTATTTTATTTACACATCGTACATACAGTACGCTTCATTAACACTCGCACGCCAATTGCCATATTGGAATTAATGAACTCATTTGTTTTTATCAGTTTTATATTATATACCCTTAGCTTGTGTATTATAATTTAAGCAACAATACTCCGGGGCAATCATACAATATCAAGCTTTTATTTTAACGTAAATTATTTAATTATCTTAAAATTTTAATCTTCAAAAAATAATCGTATTTAGGATCAAAGTTTTTCTATTTTAAAAACAACCGTCTCTGCAGTTAACATTTTTTTTGAGATTTTATTTTTATTAGTTTACTTATTTCCAGCGAACTGTTCCAATTTGGGAGCAATTACTTTGTAGTAAGGGCTTAGAATCTTCGTTATGCTGCACAAAACTTGTGCCTTCTTGTTCGGCTTTTGCTTAATTGACATGGGTCACTTGTTTTGCAAATTTTACAGCAAAACCTACACATACGTACACATATGAACACATGTGTATGGAAAATTATTTGACCCAGTTCGTCAATGGCGTAAACAATGTTAATTAATTGTATTTAAATCAATTCTTTGCGTAACATTCGTTCGATTGGCACAGGGCATGAGCTATGTTATCTGTTAAGAACATCTTGGTTAAAAGTTTACACTTTTTTTTTTTTTAGAAAACGCTCTCTTACCCAATTAAAACGATAAAGCGGTCCAAGCAAGTTACCCGTTACTTGAGTTCTTTGACTGTATTTCCTTAATGATCGTTAATCAGATTTCCTGAAAACTCTCGCATACAGAAAAAATATAGATAACTTGATGTTACTTCAGTTTAGGATTGAAATCTATTGACAGTGGATTAAAGAGAAATATAGACGGATCAATATCGAATGCAACTGTCATCTAGCGCACATGTGCTTATATATATATGTATATATGTTACATATGTACATACTTTTCCCTTCTCCTCGCATGCAGTCACAACTTTTGCTTTCTGAGCACACAAAACATCATCATCAGAGACGGCGGCGAGCTGTTTGCACAGCTCCTTTAGACGCTTTGTCCTTTCTCCGCTCCACCCACCCGTTTCCCCTTTGCAATGCGGCGTTACCAAAAGGTGTCGCAGTCTAATAACTTTAGGCGTCTGGCCAGAGAGGCAAAGCTCTAAAGCAAACAAATCCAAGAGAAGCAAAAGTTCTTTCAGCACATGTCATAACATACCTCTGAGTTTTTTAGCTTTGCTAGTTCTTTTTGTATACCCTGTACTTACATAATGAATATGGGGATATTCGATTCCATTCGGAACCCAAATGTAAGTGTTGCTGATCATCATTTTGTTATTAGAAGTTATTAATGAATATATACTTCGTAATGAAGTGTTAAGTGAAGAAGAAGAGGCACATCTGTTGCTGATTGTTAACACAGAGTATAACCTATTGGATCACACTCGATTAAAGCAGGCTTAGTTGTTTTTGTACTGCCGGAAGTAGTGAAAATATCATCGATTTTCTTGTTTGGCGCTGCAATGTCCTCGACTGCGTCCTCGTTTTTCATGTATGCGTGTGATTATGTATGTGTGTGTGTGTGTGCGTGTCCTTACTGAAAAGACTTGCATGCATAGTGCAGCCGCCTTAGTGCACAGGACATGCAGTGCATGGCGCTTGCCTTGCCTTTGGCTTCACTAGGGTGCTATTGTCCATTTTACGTTGAGATTTGTTGCGACCCTTTTGCAGCTATGTAGATGCACACATACATGCCCACACACATGCGTATGTGTATGTACACTAAGCAGTTGCTCAGCAGCTAAAAAGCGAAGCCTTCTGAATGCACTCTGTCGTCAATGTGTGTGTGTGTGCCCTGTGTGTGTTGTGTTTTTGTACGCTGTGTTTCGGGTTTTGTCACTCTCGCTCTCTTTTGAGTCATCGCCCACACTTCACAACACTTTTGCCTGGTTTGCTGTGTGACCGCGTGTTGCGCTGCAGGATGTGAGCGTCAATCGCAATATCACTATCGACAGGTCGCACCTTTTAATACACTACAAATTGTGTTGGGCACAATTCGTACAAACATAATTTTATTATAGCTATAAAATAAATTTGAAAAAAATAGAAATATAAGTAAATATAGCTACAGATATTAATATTATTACAGATTTTGATATGTCCACATTATAAAGTCCGATTTTTTTTCTGTAAAAGTAACTACTTAAAAAATCAACATTGTTCAAAAATTAAATTTGGGCTATGCGTTTATTAACAGTTTATAACAGTCACTCAAGCAGTCAGAACAGACAGTTACAGCAAAATATATGAAAATCTTCTTTTCGAGTATACCCCACTGCACCCCACTGGCACAACGAATAGCTCTAGCATATGCCCTAAATTCTGCTGCAGCAATGTTGCTGGCGCCGACGCAGATGTCACTGCAGTTATTGCCGAGTTGCCATGAGGAAGTGAACGAAGAATCCTTTTAGCTGCGCAATATAATCTATTCAGCTGATGCAGCATACCGTGCACAGGGACAGGCACAGGGCACAAAAGGAACACAACACACACACGCACACACACACATGGACTCTTTTACATTCTCACCCTCGCCTAGCGTTTTCTCTCTCTCCCCCTCTCTCTTTCTCACGCCCACCCAGCTGCAAACGCGCTTTAAATTAGCAACAAATTTTTTTTTATTTTTTGTTGTCGCTTTGCTGTTGGCAGCTTTTTGTTTTAATGACGTCGTCGCTACTTTTTTCTGCTTCTTCTTGCCGCTGCTCTTTTTTTTTTGTGTCACCAGCAGTTGCAACAAAAACAATAATAGAAGACAAAGACAGCAACAATTGCTGCGTTCATTGTACGTGATTTGAAATTTATGCACAGCAAGTTGAGTCCACTGCCTATAGTTTGTATGCCCTGTAAGCATAATGAGAAATGGGGTATATTGCAATAAGGCTACAAATCCGTATCGAAAGCACCGTTTTTCATATTGCTATAAACGGAACCTTGAACCGGATCACGGCTGGTTCGGATGGTTCGTAGTATGAACTTTGTACCCCGAACTGAACCATAATCAAGTTTTTTTTCATCATTTTCTCACCAATAAAAGGGTATTTCGTGCTCGTGCTTGCTTGCCTTAAATTGCACCTAAGCTTTTTATTATAACTCTTGGCTTACTTCCCCTCAGTGCTCGTTGTCGGGCTGCTTTATTTATTTTTTTTTTTTTCATACTTTTTGCTCATTTGCCTTTGTAAAACTTCCGGTTAAGAAAGAAGCACAGAAAAGTTGCCCACACGCTCGTTTAGTGTTACAAAACGCCACAAGAGAAGAGGAGAGAAGCGCAAAGAAGCAGTCAACGATAATGCTTACGTGCGTCCGCCAAAGCCAAAGCGTCCCAAAACTAATAGAAACGCAGCTCGTAAAGGCTGCAGTGGCTCCGCAGAGGGTGTCTTTTGGGCTTGGGGCCGTGCTACGCAATCGTCAAAATATTTCAAATTGTTGTTCAGTTTTCTTTTTCATTATACATTGCATGTATATTGTTAGACTATCGCATAGTTATCGCCATTACCGTTTTTGGCCGCAGCGACTTCCTGTGTATTTTCTTCTTCTTGCCAAGTGGGTTATAAGCTTGGCCAAGTTGCACGGCCTGCATAAATTTGTTGGCAATTACATTGGCAATTAGACGCGCATAAATATCGCTAATAGATTTCGGTTATTAGAGGTAGTTACATTGCCCGGCTCGAGGCGCACGTCATGCATCGGTTACAGGAAATATTACGACTTGTTGATTGCGTTTAAGCTAATATCTATTAATAATTAAATAATAATAGTAGTTTAATATTTCGGTGGTACAGTGAAAGCTCTACTGACGGACAGCCATCGTGTTTCTTGTTTACCCCAAATGGATCATTTGAACTCTAGGTGTTCGCTTAAGTGAATGCTTACTCTATTTCTCTTTTATCAGTTGCACATTTTAACAAATGCTTCCTCACATGAAAGAATGGAGAATATTGAAAATGAAACTATTTGTCATTCAAATTCGTTGAATGTTTCCCAATTCTCATATCCAAAGCTGATTCAATCGAATCGGTTTGAGAGCTTGCGTCATTAATGGAACTATAGGGGACTTAAGAAACATCATTTACGGAAACTGGGCGCTTCGAGGGTTTTATTTGGAATTACTTTCTCAAAGATTTCGTCGGATTTGCTTAAATAAAAAAATAAAAAAAATAATTTGTAATGTCAAACACATGTTTTTATCAGTTCCCCTGAGGCTACAAGTTTTTCGAACCAAGAAAATACTATAATGCTATAATCTATAATTAGCAATATTTTCTTATATATCTATATTTTTGATGGATTTTACAATTTTGCTTAGAAATATTGTCCACAACTGTGCACGCGCCATTAATTCAATTCATTATCAATCTACGGCAATTAAAACTGTGTCACAGTCGAGTCTATGCAACTTTTCTAATGCTCTACAAATTGCTTAAACACCATACAAAATTAGTTAAATACTAGTAACTGTAGAAAGGGCTATTATTGAAATTCTGAAAGAAATTTTGCAGTTAAATAATTGGGATTAAAATAGAAGACCTTGACCCGAAGTTATTCTAATTAAAGGGAAAATTCTAAATTCCGGAACACTTAGTTTTATATTAAATTACGTAGATATTTTAAATATGATATGATGAAGAAAGCATGAATATCAATATTAATAAACTCTATAAAAACTCTATTCAAGTTACATTCCAACTGATGACATATTTTCAATTAAATTTGCAAAAATTCTTGAAATATTTCAATTGTTGTTATTGCAGTCAGATGTTATCGCTGGTGTTATTTTTAGGCCTGTGCTGCGCTTGAAGTTTATGTTTTTTTCTTATTTTTATTTGTTTTTCCTTTTTTTTGGTTTGTTTTTTAAATATCGACGATGACCTAATTTACAAATTTTTGTGTACGTTCCATTCATTTATTATGGTCCCAACCTCTCCCGCTCTTTGCGCATGATTCACAGATGTGCTGCCCATTTATGTTGTTTGGGCTTGGGATTGGGTTCCATTACTGACCTCGGCAATAGGCGGGCTGCTCCGATAGGCCCCATTCGTAGCTGATTAGAAGTTGTGCGTGCCTTCAGTGCACGGCCCATTTGTATTTTTCCGCCACTGATTAAAAGCTTAATTGTTTTTCAATAGGGCCGAGAGAATAATATGGTATGCGATCTAAATTTAGCAAATTTAATGAATTTATAATGATCAGGAATGCACCTTATCCATGAGTCTTTCGAAGCAATTGAATTTCATTGGAGTAATGGAATTTGGGCAATTAAATGCCAAAAATATGCCGCCTTGAGATAAAGTTTACTAACAAGAATTATATCTTTTACCAGCGCTTAATTGAGTTTAAATTTGATAAAGCTTTGCCAGGCTTTACATAATATTACAGGACTTTCGCTCAAATATATATAGCTATGCCATTTCCACGCATCTTCCGCTGCCGTAAAGAATTGAAAAATTTATAAAAAGTTACAAATGGTCTGAATCTGCATTGCATTGATTCTTCGTCTTATAAGAAACATATTTCCGTTCATTCCAATGTGTGAACCATTTACAAAAACTTGTTCATCTCTCTCTTAAAGCGCCATATCATTTTTTTCGGTTTCTTTCGTTCTTTTAAAAACAGTTTGTATATATTAAAAATCTTAAAAATATTATCGTATGCATTTGACTCATAGTTAAATATTGTGGTGCGTATTTGCGTATGAGTAATAATTATAAATATTGTCAGCTTTTCTGCTATGCTTTTATCCACTGCTCCGTAAATTTGTACACAAATATAATCCATGCATATTAATTTTGACAGATTTTCCTCAGATATTTTGACAGTGTGCGCGTTGCTCTAATTTCATTTTCTTAAATGTAGGCAAAAACACAAATTCCATCAATGAGTTAAAGATGTAGCCTCGTTGTTGTTGTTGTTGTTGTTGTTGTTATTGTTATTGCTATTGTTGATGCAGTTGTTGTGTTTCCATAATTACAAAATATTCGGTATATCGCACAAGGCCGAAATGAGGACGTGTCGAAGGCAGCGAATTGAGACGCAGACTTCAGTCCATGTTTTTATTTAGTGTAAGAATCAGGAGGGGAACACTGAAGTTTTAATTCATTTCGCTTGCATAGTTTAATCTCAAAAGAACATTTTGAAAATAAAAACAACTATAGTAGGTACTGCCGGAACTATCGATACATTTTTACTAATATAATATTAATTTATCGAAAGAGCGTCATAAATATATTGGAAATTTATCGATATTTGATGTTTTATACTGAAACTTGTCACAGTCTGTATTGTATTGTGTTGCATTTTTAGCTTTTTAGCTAATAATAATCGATAATCAACTAGACAATTTATCGATTTATCTGACTTTTGTTAATATCGGAATTACATTTATCGTAATTAACTTGTAATATAAGAAGTATTGCGGTTAGGGCATACAAACTTCGTGATGATGCAATTAAGACTTTTATTTGCGCTACTTTTGCTGTGGCCTCTGCTGCATGTGGCACGCGCTGGAATATACAACAGAGTGTGGCGCGGTAGGCGGTCTGGGGTGGTTCAAAGTGGAAGGTCTCACAATGAAATAGACTCACTTAAGCGCCGTCAGTCTATCCGACTGTCCGGCTCAACGGCTGCATGGATGAATGACTGACTGGCTGACGGACTGACGGACTGACTGACTGACAGCTGGAAACGCAACAATGCAAAAAGCGTACCGATGATGATGCTTCTCCCTGCTCGCTGCTCGCTTCTCTCTGCTGTTAGCCTTGTCGCAATCAACGCGCTGGGTGCGCCCACAAAAAATTATGCAATGCGCGCGACGTATGAAAATGGAAATGAAAACCAGAAATGAAAAGGCAGCCGAGCCGAAAGCTTTCAATGCAAAAGCGCGCAGTGGGCGGACTGCATTGTTGCTGTTATCAACAAACCAACAAACCACAACAACAATGTCGCAGATGAGAAGAGG